GAAAATAACTATGAATCATAAAAATAGAAATCTAAGAAAAAGACCGCAGTGCAGTCTCGTCCCCTCACCAGCGAGGTCTGTGGCGTTGGGGTCGGCGCCCCTCGACACCAGCAGCTCCACGACGGAGGTGTGGCCGTTCCCTGCGGCGCCATGCAAGGGCGTCTGGCCTGAGGGAGGAAGAAGTGTGAGAGAGAGAGAGAGACGCGGGCGGAGAGAGAGAGGGAGGGAGGGGAGGGGCAGAGGAGAGGAGAGAGTGTAAAAATATGGAGCTGTTTTCCGACTGGCTGGCACCAGTGTGATGATACAATGCGCGAGCTGCCTTCACTCGGTGGGTGCCGAGGCGGCCAGGCGCTGGACTGACGTCGTGATGTGGTGCCGAGGCGGTCAGGCGCTGGACTGACGTCGTGATGTGGTGCCGAGGCGGTCAGGCGCTGGTTTGACGTCGTGATGTGGTGCCGAGGCGGTCAGGCGCTGGTTTGACGTCGTGATGTGGTGCCGAGGCGGTCAGCGCTGGTTTGACGTCGTGATGTGGTGCCGAGGCGGTCAGGCTGGTTTGACGTCGTGATGTGGTGAGGCGGTCAGCGCTGGTTTGACGTCGTGATGGTGCCGAGGCGTCAGGCGCGACGTCGTGATGTGTGCCGAGGCGGTCAGAAGAGGCGGTCAGGCGCTGGTTTGACGTCGTGATGTGGTGCCGAGGCGGTCAGGCGCTGGGACGTCGTGATGTGGTGCCGAGGCGGTCAGGCGCTGGTTTGACGTCGTGATGTGGTGCCGAGGCGGTCAGGCGCTGGTTTGACGTCGTGATGTGGTGCCGAGGCGGTCAGGCGCTGGTGACGTCGTGATGTGTGCGAGGCGGTCAGGCGCTGACGTCGTGATGTGGTGCTGGTTTGACGTCGTGATGTGGTGCCGAGGCGGTCAGGCGCTGGTTTGACGTCGTGATGTGGTGCCGAGGCGGTCAGGCGCTGGACTGACGTCGTGATGTGGTGCCGAGGCGGTCAGGCGCTGGGGTCGAGGCGTCTTGACGTCGTGATGTGGTGCCGAGGCGGTCAGGCGCTGGCTTGACGTCGTGATGTGGTGCCGAGGCGGTCAGGCGCTGGCTTGACGTCGTGATGTGGTGCCGAGGCGGTCAGGCGCTGGTTTGACGTCGTGATGTGGTGCCGAGGCGTCAGGCGCTGGTTTTGACGTCGGTGCCGAGGCGGTCAGGCGCTGGTTTGACGTCGTGATGTGGTGCCGAGGCGGTCAGCGACGTCTGTTTGACGTCGTGATGTGGTGTCAGACGTCGGTGTCAGGCGCTGGTTTGACGTCGTGATGTCACGACGTCGTGATGTGGTGCCGAGGCGGTCAGGCGCTGGTTTGACGTCGTGATGTGGTGCCGAGGCGGTCAGGCGCTGGTTTGACGTCGTGATGTGGTGGTGACGTCGAGGCGGTCAGGCGCTGGTTTGACGTCGTGATGTGGTGCCGAGGCGGTCAGGCGCTTTGACGTCGTGATGTGGTGCCGAGGCGGTCAGGCGCTGGTTTGACGTCGTGATGTGGTGCGAGGCGGTCAGGCGCTGGAGGCGGTCAGGCGCTGGTTTGACGTCGTGATGTGGTGCCGAGGCGGCCAGGCGCTGGTTTGACGTCGTGATGTGGTGCCGAGGCGGCCAAGCGCTGGTTTAACGTCGTGATGTGGTGCCGAGGCGGCCAGGCGCTGGTTTGACGTCGTGATGTGTTGGTGGAGACAAGGCTGTCGCAGATTTACGCTACACGTCCAAAGGGGCAAGGTAGAGCCGCCCAGGCAGGAGCGCGCCCTGCTGAGCTCGCGAGGGCGGGCGGTCTGTCTCGATAGCACATAAATTGCTGTGAACAAACTTCGTTTTTTGAACATAAAATGGAGAACGTTGAAAGAATACGAATGAAAACAATATTAGAACCATGTGATCACATGATCGTTTCGTGATGAAGAACCAACGGATACCTTATGTACGGTGATATGTGAGAAAAGACACAAGACAAATCTTCATGACAAGAAAGTATGTCGGTAGAATATTCGTAAACAATCGATAACTACAATAAAATGATAATAATAATGACTACAAAAGCAGCTGTATAGACAATGGAGATTTTAAGGAACTTTTTGAGCATATACAAGTGTATGTCTAAACATAATTCGAAATCACAAAATAAATGACGAAAGGATCGAAAGAAGGAGATTGAGGCAAACGGGAGGAGGAGGAGGAGAGAGAGAGAGAGGATGTAAGGAAAGAAAGTGGGAGAAGGGAATAGAGGAGGAGGATAGCAAGAGAAAGGAAGGTAGAGTTGAATAAAAAAAACTGAGGTGGAGAAAGGGAGGGAAATTAGATATACAGGATATGGCGAACAGGAGAATGGAAAATGAAAAAGGTAAAGAGAGGTAAAGAGGAAGAGGATTTATAAAGAAAAAAGAAGAGATGAAAAAGAGATAAAGGAGGGACTAAGAGGAATGACAAAGAAAGGGAAAGATAGAGAATGGAAGAGGGCAGAGAAAGAGGAGAGAGAAAGGAGAATGAAGAGAAGCAGAGTAAGGTAATAAGGGAGGAAGAGGAAGGAGAGATGAAGAGTGAGAGAGAGAGAGAGAGAGAGAGAGAGAGAGAGAGAGAGAGAGAGAGAGAGAGAGAGAGAGAGAGAGAGAGAGAGAGAGAGAGAGAGAGAGAAAGGGGGGGATGTAAGGCAAATAGAGGAGATAAAGAGTTGGAAATACAGAGAAAGAGTAGAGAAAGGAGATGAGAAAAATATTAATAGCGGAAAATTGGAGAAGAATATGCAAGGAAAAGAGGGAAGGAAGAGAAGGAAAGAGAAAGGAAGGTAGGAAAATGAGACAAAGAAAGGTATAGAAGGAGAGAGGAAGGCAGAGAGTAAAAGAAATGAAGAATTAGGAGAGAGATAAAGAAGAGAGAGGGGATGAAGGGAAATATATGAAAACGGAAGAAAGGAAGATGAGAGAAAGAGGAAATAAGTAAAGGAAAAAAGGGAAAGGAAGAGAAGAGAGAGAAAGAAAAGGCAGTTGAGAGAGAAGAAAGGAGAAAGAGGAGGCAGAGAGAGGAAGAAGCGAGAGACTGAGAAAGTGGACAAAAAGCAATAAGGATCCTTTACATTCCAATAACAATAAAGGTAGTTGGAAAAAATAAGTGTTAGAATTAATTTTTGATTTCAAAATAAAAAAGTTTTACTATCAGAAAAGAAAATAAAGATAGTAATAGCGTCTCCACATATATATCAGCATCAATGAAATTGACAGCAAGGTCTAACTGAATGATTATTACTATAATTATGGTAATCATAATATTTACGATAATGAAAATAACAGCAAAAAATTATTATAATGATGATAATAATAATAACAAAAATAATATCAATAATAGTAACTATAATCATCATTACATAATAATAAACATAATACCAACAAATAGTAATTAATAAACGCGCGAGGGCGGGCGGTCTGTCTCGATAGCACATAAATTGCTGTGAACAAACTTCGTTTTTTGAACATAAAATGGAGAACGTTGAAAGAATACGAATGAAAACAATATTAGAACCATGTGATCACATGATCGTTTCGTGATGAAGAACCAACGGATACCTTATGTACGGTGATATGTGAGAAAAGACACAAGACAAATCTTCATGACAAGAAAGTATGTCGGTAGAATATTCGTAAACAATCGATAACTACAATAAAATGATAATAATAATGACTACAAAAGCAGCTGTATAGACAATGGAGATTTTAAGGAACTTTTTGAGCATATACAAGTGTATGTCTAAACATAATTCGAAATCACAAAATAAATGACGAAAGGATCGAAAGAAGGAGATTGAGGCAAACGGGAGGAGGAGGAGGAGAGAGAGAGAGAGGATGTAAGGAAAGAAAGTGGAGAAGGGAATAGAGGAGGAGGATAGCAAGAGAAAGGAAGGTAGAGTTGAATAAAAAAAACTGAGGTGGAGAAAGGGAGGGAAATTAGATACAGGATATGGCGAACAGGAGAATGGAAAATGAAAAAGGTAAAGAGAGGTAAAGAGGAAGAGGATTTATAAAGAAAAAAGAAAGAAGAGATGAAAAGAGATAAAGGAGGGACTAAGAGGAATGACAAAGAAAGGGAAAGATAGAGAATGGAAGAGGGCAGAGAAAGAGGAGAGAGAAAGGAGAATGAAGAGAAGCAGAGTAAGGTAATAAGGGAGGAAGAGGAAGGAGAGATGAAGAGTGAGAGAGAGAGAGAGAGAGAGAGAGAGAGAGAGAGAGAGAGAGAGAGAGAGAGAGAGAGAGAGAGAGAGAGAGAGAGAGAGAAGAGAGAGAGAAAGGGGGATGTAAGGCAAAATAGAGGAGATAAAGAGTTGGAAATACAGAGAAAGAGTAGAGAAAGGAGATGAAAAAATATTAATAGCGGAAAATTGGAGAAGAATATGCAAGGAAAAGAGGGAAGGAAGAGAAGGAAAGAGAAAGGAAGGTAGGAAAATGAGACAAAGAAAGGTATAGAAGGAGAGAGGAAGGCAGAGAGTAAAAGAAATGAAGAATTAGGAGAGAGATAAAGAAGAGAGAGGGGTTGAAGGGAAATATATGAAAACGGAAGAAAGAAGGAAGATGAGAGAAAGAGGAAATAAGTAAAGGAAAAAAGGGAAAGGAAGAGAAGAGAGAGAAAGAAAAGGCAGTTGAGAGAGAAGAAAGGAGAAAGAGGAGGCAGAGAGAGGAAGAAGCGAGAGACTGAGAAAGTGGACAAAAAGCAATAAGGATCCTTTACATTCCAATAACAATAAAAGGTAGTTGGAAAAAAATAAGTGTTAGAATTAATTTTTGATTTCAAAATAAAAAAGTTTTACTATCAGAAAAAAAATAAGAAGATAGTAATAGCGTCTCTCCACATATATATCAGCATCAATGAAATTGACAGCAAGGTCTAACTGAATGATTATTACTATAATTATGGGAANTTTCTCTTTTGTTTCCTTCTTCAGAGTTTAACTTCTTTTCTCTTTTGTTTCCTTCTTCAGACTTTAACTTCAAATTTTCTCTTTTGTTTCCTTCTTCAGACTTTAATTTCAAGTTTTCTCTCTGAGTTCCTTCTTCAGTTTCATTACTACTTGATACTGCTTCCTCATTTGCAATATTCTTCAAGAACTCTTTACTCACTGCTTGTGGCTCGGGCTTTTCACTACTAGATCGTCTCTCCTCCTGGTGATTTTTTGTTACTGGCTCTAATTCCTGTTCCACTGTTGATAACTCATCTGATTTTAGATCTTTCTCTGCACTAGCTGATGGTATATGAATTTCTTCTAGCTCCTGAGTATTTGGGAACTGTGTGTTAGGCTCCTCCTTTTTTTGAAGAATGGGGGTACTTTCCACAATGCTCACTTCCTCGACACTTCCAACTGTCTCATCTAAAATTATGTAGTTTGAGCTGTTCAGTCCAACTATGTCTTCCTCATGCATGGACATGTTCTGAAAAGTTACGCTCAAATCAACATCCCTGATAGTTTCATATGCCACTTCCAAATCACTTTTCTCCAGCAAGCTCCCATATTCTGGTGTTTGCTTAGACCAACTATTATTGTTAGCATCTTCCTCTTTGTTGGCATTGCTTTCTGATGTTCCTAATATATCTAAGAGTTTCCTTGACGTCTGGATTTCAGGGAAAATATCTGGACCTGATGCTTCGTTCTTCAAGCTCTCATTTTCAGGAATTTCTTGACAAACTTCCTCGGAAATATGGACTTCATGGCTATCACTGTCAGTGCTTTTGTCTGCAGATTCTCCTTCTACAAAACAAATTTCCCGCTTTGATTTGAACACATTATATTGCACATTAACACTTAAATTTCTCAACTTCCTGCTATCTTTATTTGACACCTGTTTACAGCTGAGTCTTGCTGAGTTCTGAAAATCATTCTTCACCCTATTCTTAAGAAATGTTCTTAGATCTAAATCTTTATGCCAGTCCCTTGGTTCCAAAATCCTGTTCTTGTTAATAATTCTGGGTTGGGGTTCAACATTTTCCTGTTCTGAAGGGAGACGTGGCTTGCATTTGTCCTTCGGACTCTGGAGTGAACCATGACTAGCATTCTGTGATGAGTCCTTTTTAGGACAGGATGAGATAAATTTTGCCAGAGAGTTGGCATTAGTAAAACCTGTGTCCTTGTTCACCGGAATTCCAAAGTACGACGCTCCTGAAGCTTCAGTTTCCTTGGGTGTATTGAGGCTGAGGAAACTTCTCCCATCTCGCCGCCTGTGTAGTCTTGGAATCCCTTCAAACACTTCAGACAGACATTCCTGGATATAAGAGATGCCATCTTCTTCATCACTACTTGCGTCAAAAGCTTCAAGGGAATAATTGCTTAGACCAGGCAGCTGGGCCTGTGGTTGAGATACATCTATAGGAACTTCTCTATGCAGATCAGTCACTCTGTTCCATGTCAAATGATGATCCCCTGAGAAATGAAGAAAGAAACTGGAATCTGAGAAAGGGACTTGCACAATAAGAGCTTATTGGAAAAAGAGAGAGAGAGAGAGAGAGAGAGAGAAAGAGAGAGAGAGAG